ATATATATATATATATATATATATATAAAAGAAATCTGTACTATTGTAGACTTTTCAAATGTAATCTAAGAAAGTGGGTTATCAGTGAAACACCAAGTCTTTATTTACAGTGAGAATCTAAACCTCACACTCATTTTCACATCACCTAATGTTAAAATTCAGGCGTTTGGATAAACTGGTAACTTAATGTTCCAGGGATTTAATTACCACTCTTTTGTAATCAGAACTAAAATGAGTAGAAGGCTGCAGCTCTGAACTTCAAGAAATGTCATTCTCTGCAACACAGTCAATAAAAAGAAAATATATGGCATCCACTCAAATGTTGTGGTCCATCCCACAGCTGAACTTGCAAGTCTGCTATTGCTAACAATTTTCGTTCAAACCTCAGATTTTCCCTTGGCTATTATCAAACCCCACAGCCCCTTGTTACTATGTTTTAACTTTGCTCTGTCTATAATTTCAATCTAAACGTGTGTGGTACTAAATTAAAGGAGCTGGCACTGTTGGAAACTACATTTCTGTTTTTCCTACATCAGCAGAAAGTCTGGTCTGAACTAGACTAAATTGTCCTTGTTGGTTTAAGCTTTGTCCTAGGGCCTTGCTAGAAAGCAGTGACAAAGGGTCTCCCATTCCCCAAGCAAGAAGAAAGACAATGGTTCTAGAGCTTGGATAATGGGTTCTCTGACATTCTTTTCCTTTCCTTGGGATACCAGAGATACTCTTCTCTGGAGCTCTTTGAGGTCACAACACTGTAGATTTAAGATCAAAATCAGTTGAGGGTTGATCAGTGCCCCAGTCTGAGCCTTCCATCTCTTGCTGACCATCCAGATATCCTCAAGACAAAGCATAAAAAAACACACAGTCCAGGTTGGTCCCATCCACAGCTGGTGTGGGGAAACCCAGGAGCTATTAGGGACAGAGAATCAGGGAGCAGCACATAGGAGTCAGTCCTCCATTGTCATGTTTGCCTCTACAAGTATAGGGTTTCCCTTCCCTGCAGAGGTCAAGAAGAAGACAGCAAGGAGCCACAGTGCTAAGTTGCTGTGCTCCCAAAGAGAATATATGGCCACACACTGGGTGCATCTACACAAGATGCTATACTGCACAGTAGACTAATCTAGTGTGCTGTAAAGTGTCACTGTTTACACGTGCGGAGCATTTATTGCGCAGTAAATTGGCTGTAAATACAGATACTAGATTAAATGTGCAGAAGGTCAGCATCTAGACGTGCCGTACTGCATAGTACTGCACTGGAAGAAAATGTGCTCCCTGTCAGCCTAGGCAGCAGGGGACCACAGGGGGCATGGGGCTCTCTGTCCCCTGTCCTGGTGCTGCTCAGCTCCCCCAGAAGCTGGGAGCCAATCAGCACTGGGACTGGGGAACTTTGCCCCCCCCCGTTCTGGCTCCTGGTTCCCAGCACAGAGCTGGGAGCTCTGGAGAATGAGCAGAAGCTGGGAACCCAGCCCTTGCTCACTCTCTGGAGCAGCTCTGTGCCACGTGGAGCTGGAAACTCCAGCCCCCACTCACTCTCCAGAGTTCCCAGCTTCACACCACACAGAGCTGCTCTGGGAGCAGGTGAGGGCTGGGAACCCAAGCAGGGCAGTTATTGGTGAGCCCTGTTCCCCCCTGCTCAGCAAGGCGCTGGCTGGAAACTGTCCTACAAGTGGGGCAGCTGGCAGCGAGCACCCTGTTGATCAGGGGGGTACAGGGCTCGCTAGAGGCTGCCCCGCTTGCAAGACAGACAGTTCCTGGCCAGGCCCCTGCAGAGTGGGGGTCGGGGGGGTCCACCTGACAGGGGCTCACCAACAGCTGCCCCACGCCTGGGACAGCTCCTGGTGAACCCCCTGTCAGGCAGGAAAGCCCCGCCCAGCAGAAGGCTCGCTGGCAGCTGTATCCCCCGATGTGCCTGGGGCCAGGACAGCTCTGCCAAATGCAGCATTAGCTGTCTCCCAGCCCCATACAGATCAAGTCCCGTCTCACTGTGCACAGGGCCGGAAGACAGCTGTTGCAGCTGGCAGAGCTCTCTTGGCCTCATGTACATCAGGACCAGCTCTGTGCCCCTTGCCATCCCCAGGTTAGCACCCAGGGGAGCCTGGAGCGCCTCCTGGCTGCTGCAGGGGGCAGGCCAGAGTGGGAGCAAATCTGCTCCCAACAGGGTGTACTTGTAGATATATTCCCAGGGAAGGCTTACTGTGCAGTATTTTACTATGCAGTAAGCCTAAAGTTCATTAATAGCACATGTGGATGTGCCCACTATGTCTTGGGAAAGGAGTTCTTTGGTTCCTTTACCCACTGCTGTGGCTTTCTTTGTGAGAAGGAAGGATCCAGCCCTAGATTCTCATTTCCCTGCAGGTAGGAACAGAGAAATGATTTAGCTTACTTTTTCCTGTCAATCTCTTGATTAAGTGTTTGTCTACATTGCTGTGACAGCAGCTCATGCAGATTTTCTCAATCTAGCTTGCAACTAGCTAGCTCAGGTACCGCTCTCTGAGTAGTCACGGCTAGTTTAACACTAGTTTAGCTATCTCTGCACGAGCTGGAGTTTTAGCACCAACTGCTGAATTAATATTCCCTGAAAAACAAAGTCTCAACTTCAGTATGGTCTGTTCTCACTCCACCAAAGGAAGGGTTAATAATTTCTCTCTTTATATCTGGTCCCCTGCTAGTAACACCTAGCTGCATGCTGCCCCCATCCAGCAGTAGAAATAAGGGACGGCCAGTTAGCAAGCTTTGTACAAACAAAATGTTGGCTTGGTTAGTGCCAGCTCTTACCACCTTGATGCAGTATTTGATTTTCCATGCTCTTAATCTTATGAACTAAAATGAGACTGATAGAAGTTTGCATAACATTATGTATCTGTCCATACGGAAGACAAACAAACCTGACCTTGAACCCAGCAGAGTTTTCCGAGGACGTGTCGATGCCTTCAGGAGTCTTTCCACTGAGCCCATGCTTTCTCTCCTGGGTGTGCTCCTGCGTTTTGAATTGAATAGTCATTGGCTAAGAGGTGTAAACAGAATTGGGCACCAGGACTGGAGCCCAGGACCCCCTCCCTCCCTGGGCTACAGTAACACTCGTTCTTGCTGTTCCCTCTCTGCTTTCATTCTGCATATCAGCCAGCTCCAACAGGATGAACAGAGGCAGTGAGTGCCTTTAAATCCGACCAGCTCCGAGCCTGTTAGTGAGGGCTCTCTCCTGGAAGGTAGGTGATGTGGCTTTGAAGCCCTGCAGGCTGAGAAGGAAATTAAGCCAGACTTCCCTCCTCCTGTTATACAGTGCTCTACCCACTGAGCTGTTCTGCAGGAGAGGCACTACCATTAGGCACGGTTTTTGATTCAAAGTGGCCATGGGTGCCAAACTCAGTTGGCAGTCATTCAAGGTTAGTCATGCTTGGTTCATGCCTACTCGACCCCTCAGGGGAATTAGGCACTGCGTTGTCTCATTTTGAATCCCAAATGGCACTAGGTGGGTATAGGCACCTAACTGCTTGGCTCAGCCAAGATGGGGGCAGTCTGAAGCATGCATAGCCATTGAATGTTAGGTGCCTAAGCCAGTACATGCCAGAAGACGGGGCCCTGAGGGTTGGTAGAAGCATAGAAGACTCTTTTGTAGATTGCTGACTTGGAAGTAAGCTCCTGAAATGCAACTTAGTCACCAGGCACCCAAGTCCTTTTGTGTTTGTTTCCATTAGAGATTAAGGGGAGGGATTCAACAGACAGAGATGGCAAGACAATTGAAGTTTCAAGCTGCTATACAGCTTTGTGTGTTCTCCCCAGCTAGCAGCTCCCCTGTATTTCGTAGGTGGTGGTTTTCACACAGGTTTTAAAATAGCCAGTGACAGTCCAGGCTCTACACACAGCAAAGCCACTGGCCTCTTGGGGCAAGGTGGGCCCAGATCCCAAGCAAGCTGTGCATCTCATGGGCTATGCTGGTCTCCAGCAGGACCAGAGGGAAATTCCCAGCCAAACCACCTCCTCTCTCCAAAGGCATGTCAAAGAGCTTTATTTTATTATGCTCCCTGCTCCTAGTCACCGCACCCGCCCAGCCCTGCGGATCACAAGGCCAGCTCCAGCTGGTGCATTTGCATTCTGCCCCTATTACCAGTTTGGCTTTCAGCTGCTTAGACTTGATTACTTTAAACCCCAGATATCTGATTATCAGGAGCCCAGCCAGCATCCTTGGGGATCCCCACCAGCATCACCCAGGGATAATTTCCCTGACATTTATGCATAGAAACATCATGGAAACAACAAAGCAACACCGTGAGGGAGGCAGTCTCCATTCCCCACTGCTGCAGCCCCAGAAACCGGCAAAACTTTCCAACTTTGACTTCATGCCTATCTGGCTGCTGTAATGAAGAGGGGAGCTCTGTGCTGGCAGGAGCCTGCCAACCAGCAGAACGCAGCATTAACTAGCAGGGGAGTGCACCCTGGCAGAGAAGGATGCTTCTGGAAGCACAGACTGAAAAAAGCTTAGAGCTGTATTCCAGCCACTCCAGCATTTGTGCAGTGCTGTCACAAACTGGCGTGTTTTGCTTTCAGCGGATGTGTAGCAAGGCAAGGCAGTTCAGTGCAGCCCTTCCTAGCTGGGCTTGGCGCTGGCTTTTAGGGTCCCTATTGTGTCTTCCATCTTCCTCCTTCCCTCCCCCAGCAGGATGAAGAAGCCTCCAGCTGGCCTAGGAGGCTTATCAGCTCTGTCTGTCTGGGTGTTAACAGTCTATTTGCATAAGTACCTGTCACTATCACATGCCATGTTTCCTTTGTGACTCACTGGATGTGTTTGCTTTTTCTTCACTGGGGTGGCTTCAGGCACTCAGCCCTCCCCAGGGATCTGATACCAAGGCAGAAGCCACCCCCCTGGGGCAGGAAATGATGATATATTCACAGTGATTGGGGTACCCATTCCCTCTGAGGTCACTTTCTTCTCCTGTGTACACCCCAGGGGACCCTCTTGGAAATTAAATGTTTAACTCGTGGGATCTTATTTACTCCTGGTTGGAGAGATAAAATTAAATCTCCCTGCCTTACTTCAGCAGCTACCACTGTCAGTGCCCAGAGGCTGAGGACTGTGAGGCCTCATCTGGGAAGGGAAGGCAAGCTTTTGGGGTACAGCTGAGAGGACTACCTAGTGTACATGACTGCATGATGCATGATTTATGATACGTGATGTACCTTTTTCTCTCCCAAAATAACAGCAATCCCAGTCTGAAGTCAGCAAGGAGTCCCAAAGTCCCTTCTGATTCTGGACCACAGAACAGAGTACTGATCATCAGACTATCATGACTTGTTGTATTATAGGCACCGCAGTTACAGTTCGCTTTTCACTGGTGATGACCATGGAGTCACCTCCCAAAGTAAGAGCTAAACTGTCTTGTCATTACGTCTGAAAGGTTTTTTTTCCTTCATAAGAAGAAAGTCATTAACATTAAACTTTACCTACCAGGCACAATTCATTTGAAAGTTATAACCATCATAAAACGTGTATGTACTGCATATTCCATGTGTTAAAACTCTGACATGTAAGAATTACCTCATTGATGGTTGTCCATCTTTTGTGGAACACACCAGACGACTTCTGAAATGTATATAGCCATACTTTGGGTGTTCCTTTGATGAATGAGTGGGGTAGTATGAATATTGTTACAGTGGTCTATCAACTTAAAGTAAGTTTTAGTTTAATCCTTGACACAACCTTTGTCATGGAACAATATTCTGCCCTTGCAGGCAGGGAGATGTTCTATTAGGCCCTTACCATTTCCTACTGCTGTGATAGGTTACAAATATTGGTTACAACCTTGAAGTCCTCACTTAGACAAATGCATGGGCTTCAGATTAGCATCAGTGAGGGAGCCTGTCACTTTAAGAACTCAGTACTATTTAAGTAATTGATGCTCAACCTCTTGGCCCGAGGGGCCAGATGAGTGGTACAGGGACAGTTCACAGGCTGGATCCCATATGGGGTTGGCACATGGGGTCGGGCCTCTTGCACTCAGATCCAGATTTACACTGCCTGGATTGGGCCCTGTGCGCCCAGATCGTGCCTTGGGTCCCCTGGATTGGGTCCCACATGCCCATCCTGATCAGGCCCCACACCATTCAGATTGGGCCCCAGGCTGCTCTAGCCCACATGCCCAATCTAGTATTCAGGGCCACACTATTCACATGCAGGGCTCCCCATGCTTCCAGAAATTTGGCAGCAGAGGAGTGGCAATTAATGCTGCCACCACTCCCTTGCAGCCAAATTTTCAGACCTGGTGGGAGCCCTGTGGGCCAGATGACAGCTCCGCAGCCCAGGTGTGGCCCGGGGCCCAAAGGTTGAGCACCGCTGATTTAAGCAAAGATCTTAGAATTTGGCTTGATCAATCACTCAGCTAGGGTGTCTGTCTGTCTCTCCAACTGTCCACCCATTCGTTTCTAATCTGCCCATCACCACGCTGTCTAGACTCCAGTTCTTCAGAATAGCTACTTTTTTCATGAGGCCAAAACATTATGACCAGTACAGCTCGTCTTGATAAGAAATCTTTTGAGTAATGGAGTGTATTTATTATAACAGTAACAGAATTTGGAGAAGAAGGACATTTGAGGAGGAAAAAGGAGTTAAATTTTTTCCATGTTTAGTAAAGGTTTCTGACAGTAATATACAGGAGTGTTAGAAGAGCAGATTTTGGATGGAGGGATGAGTTGATAATGGAAAGACGGTTATATAAGTCACTGCTGTAAATCTAGTAGTTGATACTATCAAAATCAGTTAATCAGACAGTGCAGAGAAGGATTTAGAGTAAATAGAGGAGTTGGTGATTGCAAGAAGGGAGAAACAAGCAAGTAAGTGATGCCAGAGGAGTTGCCAAAGAACTAGGAGGAGAAGAACCAGGGCAGGACATTTTCATGAAAACCAAAGGTGTGCAAACTTTGTTAGGAAGAGCAAGATGAAGATGCAGCTATGACCCTGAGAAGTGTCTGTGAACAGTTTGCCCCTGGTAAGAGAAGTGTCATTGAAGTGGACAAAGTGGAAGCTCAATTGGAGGTATTGGAAGATGGAGTTCATGGAGAGGAGCTTAAGCTCTTGTCAATGCATCAGTGATCCTAAATATGAAGAAGAGAAAAGAGGTCAGTTCCCAACAGGGCTTGATTCATGCATAGGCAAACTAGGCACATGCCTAGGACCCTAAGTGACTTCACATATTATCATTATTGAATGAAAAAATGTAATATAAACATACAGTATTAAGTAGGGGGCCATGAGTTTGTTTGCCTAGGGCCCACTAAAGGGTTAATCTGGCCCTGATTCCCGGGGAAGTTGAGGGGATTCAAAATAAGGATGGTGAGACCAGTGCACTTGTACACTAAGGAGACAGCACCGGGAGAAAGAGAGAGATGGTGGAGAGTAAGAAATCAGTCTTAGAAGTTCTGGATTCATGTGCCTTAGGATGCTCAGTACCATGCCCAAAGTGATGCATCCTCCTGTGTAGGATTCAAGATTCATATTAAAGGAGAAATGCTCTTAGAAATGTCTTTTCTTCCCATTACATATGCACTCATGTTCTGTTAAACACTAATTTGTTACACAGAACTCCTTGTTTTTAAATTCTGTGCAGTGTATATTTTACTGTACAAACAGTTCAGTACCTGTTGAGCTAAGGCTCAGCTCATCTTAAGCTGTGGGTATTTTTGGCAGAAATTGATCAGGAAATTAACTTAAAACAGAGAAATGGGACCTGTTCTTTTTTGTTCATTGCCATGAATGCAAGGAAGATAAAACAACCGTGAATTTCATTCACACCTTTTAAAAACACATCTGAAAATGTTAGTTTGCTCTACCATAAGGTCAAATTTTGTACAACTGACTAGAAAATTATAACTTCTTTAGAACAATCCAGAGCAAATTAAGTAAAGTCAATTAATTATTCCAAATTCCTACTGTGACTAAGATTCAATTTTAACCCTTAGTCTTTATTTAGCCCTGTCCTGAAGTGTTGTTCATTGTTAAACACCTTCTGAATTTCACACCAGGGATGACTGCATCTCAGTGATGAGGGACAGGGCACTATTCCCTTCTTCATTATGTGCTGTGGATTCTGCTGCATTTGACTGGCAGACTTTCATTGATATCAGTGGGAAATACATAAGTAACATATGAAACTGTACTGTAGGAAAAAATCAAGTGTAAATCAGATAGATCATCATGCTCACATAATATGCAACTCATTCAGTAACGTGTTTTATGACCCCATGGAGTAAATTACAGTATAGACCCAATTCTAATAAGCAAACAATAAATTCTGTTCCTGTTGACTTCAATAGGAGACCAAAAATTTATATCCACTGTCTCTCTACATATAACAAATAAATGTTAAAAACATAGAGCTGATTCTCTAGTCTGTATGGCTGCTTTGATTTGCATAAGCATAAATAATGATGCCCAGTAGGGAATTGGTCCATTCCTCATTGAAATCAATGGGAGTCGCAGGGAATTCTGTACTTTTGAAAGTCAGGTTATGCATTTATGTGACTAAGTATGGATTTTAGGTCCAGCATTCAGCTACACATTTTAAGAAACTGGCCAAGGTGTATACTGCATCCAGTATGTGCTAGTCTTAAGACTGCAAATTGTTTTGAAGTATATACAGCATAGATCTGTAAATCCTGCTGACCCTCCAAAAAGTTCTTTGTTTCCCTCTTTATAGCTCCATTCCTCAAACCTGTTTTGAACTGACCAGCACCTTCCTGCCTTCAACCCTTGCTACCTTGCTGCCCTGGAGTCCAACAGCCAGCAGCAGTCCCGATCTGATGGCACCCTACACTAAGCATACTGCTTGGCAGTGGCCTGGAAATGATGGGCAAGCATGGACTCCCATTGGGTTATAACCAGATTCTTGAGCCAGCCCATCTCATTTCATTCATGTCCAAAATTTGTTATAATGAAAATAAAGTCACTGGAATGACTTCTGGATGAGATAATGGTTTTCCACTTTGAAAATGAACTCTCCGCTTCCACATTTATTTTCTATAAACGCCTTGGCATTTATATTGCAACAGGAGACTACTGAAGTGACATTATCTGATAAATATCATGTTATACAGCTGCAATTTACAATGCATATATTTTTAACGGTGCTTCTAAGCTAAATTAAATGCTTCTAAAAGATGGTACTTACGGAAAACAAACGTTTGTTCTAGCATATTTGTTTTTTCAGGGTACACTGTTTTTTTAAAGCAGATACCATCTTTATCCTGTCAGGCAGTAAATTATGTGCTTGCACTTCCGTAAACTTTCCCCTGGGGAACTTAGTCAATGAAATGGAAATGTCTTTTTTTTACACCCTCGAACTCCAGAGAAATATAATGAAATTGGCCAACTTAGTTATTTACTGAGTATCTAGAGGGAATCCATATAAAATGTGAAATTTATGCAGTTTTAATGCATGTATTGTTTAGCATATGTATCTCTCACTCAAATGACAGTGGATTGTAACTCAGCTCTTTAATCTTTAACAGAAGTGGGAGAGTAACTGTGCATTCTGTACAAATATTGGGCATTGTTGGACCAAGCAGTTAGAAACAACTTCTGCCACTGGCACTGTGCTGCTAACCTCCCACAGGAAGTGGTATCACTTATGGGAGAGATAAACTTGCCAGCCTCCTCTGAAGCTGCAACCGCCCAGGAACTGAAGGGAACTGCTTTTGCAAAATAAGTGGCACTATTGGAGTGAATGAAGGGACATTTCCAGAGGAGCTGAGGCTCACAATATCTGATGTTGGCAAGACGGAAGAAATTACCTTCCCTTTAGCCCTATGTTCTCAGGATCAGATACATTTTTGTCTTGGTTAATTTTTTTACTGTTCCAGAACTTTTTAGGAGGATTTTTATAATACGAAGCCTCATTTTGTGTTATTATAATTATTAGCAGGCTCACTTATAACTGTTACTGTGCTTCCATGAACTCCTTGGCTGCTCTTCCCACGGTCCCTCTTGGCCCTCCAGTTTTCCTTTAGTAGTCAAACTTGATGCTGCACTTACGTCAGTTGTAGGAGCAATATTTCCTCATCCAGTATTTAAATGTTAAACCTTTAAACTGTCTACAAAATGGGAAAATGGGGAAGTTGGAATCTACTGTGATGCCTAATAAACCCATCCAAGCATAAGGAAATATAATGTCTCAAATCACAGCTACAGCATGTAAAACTCTGCAGATGACCAACAATGCTTATTTCCCTAAATCTACTAGTATTCTTACTCCTGAGGGTTTTGTGGAAGCCACCATTCCTGCAATTCATGAACTGGAGGCCAGGCTTGCTGAGTTTTATTCTAAATTAGATTCACTTTCTAATAGAACTGAACAGAGAAGTAAATTAATTTTGAAATTTGGCAGAAGAAACTCAAAGCAGTTGAATGTGAACACTTTTATATGAAACTCCTTATGGGTGTGTTAATGAGAGATAATTCCTTCAGACACAGGAAGACGGATATTTGTGAAAATGTTATTAAAGCAACAAATGGTAGGATACTGGGAATTCTTGTGCTGCCGATAGCAGGAAAAAATTCTAACTGAATATCTGGGGGGATTCTTATTTTATAGTTTATGTTGCTCCAAATTTCCGATTTCTAAATATATTAGGAATTGCAATTAAAATCTCACTATCTCTTAATCTGCCAGATCAAGAATTAAGCAACAAGCATGGGAAAGATAAAGGAACAGTGAAACCCACAGAATTCATCTGTCCCTTGATCTTTCTATGGCAGTTTATGCCACAGAAGACAGACACAATTACTATAACTTACAAGATAACTTGCTCTGTGTTCTTCAGAATCTGTATATTATCTTGAAAACTTATTAAAGTCTTAAGAAAATATAAATAAATATGTAGGCCCAGATTCCAAGCTGTAGCCAAAAAGGACAGCTTGGGAGAAAGCTGCTTTCACACATCTTTGTGCTTCCCAATCCTGAGCTGGCTGTGCGCCAGTCTGATCCCCTGATGTAAATTAGAACAGCCTTTAGGTCTCTTTAACATCCTTTAGCGGCCAAAGGCTCCAGGAGGCAGATACAGGAGGCAGAGATCAGCAGAGTCACCCTTCTTGCACCATTAGCAAGGCGTACAGCGGACCCCGAGTTCTCTGTTAGGTTTCTGCCAGCAGAGGGTCTCTCTCCCCCAGGATGATCCTAATGATGGGTCTAGGGTAGCTCTGCGCTAGAAAAGTGGCAGAAATTAGACATTATGCAGCCTAACAGACTATGTCTGGATCTTATTTGGTCATTAAAATGACTGCCAGGCATTTGTGAAGTCTCAAAGAGTAGTAAAGAGCTCTTTTCTGAAGGTCTTGAAAGTGACACTACATTGTACTGTTCATAGTCTGTGGGGAAACCATGCAGGCTATTTTTGCTGTGTTCTGCTATTGAGTCTAGTGCTGATAGATGATGCAGGATTAAAATCTGATCCACGGTTACAAAAAGTTTTGTTTTGTTGTCTTTTCTATGAGATGTGACTGTCTGCCCCAAGATATTTAGTGGTCTTAAATTTGGCTTACACAGTTTATTATATGGAACTGGTGTGAGATCATTCAGGTGCCCTATTTTAGGTGCTTTCTTTCTGATGCTGTTACACTTTCTGAAATCACAAATTTATTTTTGATCTCTAGATATAAAGAGGCCAAACCACCGTTGAAATTAGTGGACCTGCTTATGGTCGTACATCACAAGGTAGGCAGCAATCTCACAGCACTTTTGGGGACTCATCTTAAGTGACTGAACTTTACATTGTGCAGCCCATATAAAGGCTCTTAAAAGTTATGCTCTTAATTTAAAAACATCTGTGAATTCTAATCATGTGCTCATCATCTAAAGGTTTTGGGATTTTTTTGTAGGTATGCAAAAAAATAAGCAGTAATGCTGCTTGTGTGTACGAAGATGAAAGAAAAATGTTGCTGGTTTCTTCCCTGGAGATCATATTTCTTATTTGTTGCAAAAGTGCTTATTTTAGCATCAATCATCTCAGCCTTTGTTGTGTAGACAATTCTGTACATTTAAAGGATTTGTTCTATCTTACTTCTTCTGAAATGTTTTCTTTTTATTCTTAGCTTTATTTCTCCCATAAGCAAATGCCAACTGACAATGTTCTGTCACAGATCTTCAGAATTGTCAAAAAAGTGTCATGCTATGTAAACGGAATATCATATACATAAATATAGTTTACATAACATGACAGCATGTCTATCTAACCATCAGGAATTATGTATACTTTATGTGTGTTATCCATGTGTTGGGGGGAGGGGGGAGTATATGTTAAAGGCCAAATTCTGTTCTACCTCTTAAGTTCACAAGTAGACTTTGGCACTTAAGTGAGATTCTGTTCAACTCTGCTTAAGCCCCTAAAAAACTGTTAATACAAAAAGAAGGTGGGTCCTCCACCCCACTGCTTTTTGTGATTCAGTATTAAGGGTAAGATGATGATGTGGAAATAGTAGAAAAGAATCATACTTACATGCCTAAGTCCACATAGACATCTAATAGGGGGAATAGAATCCATCCCTTTGTGTGTAGATGGAGATGCAGATATCATCCATAAGCAGCTATGTTAAAAGAGCATTATTAAGATTGCAAAGTCGAGTAATCAAAAGGTAGAAAATGTCAGATGAAGTTGCCTGTGCAACCTTAGTTCAGCCTCTTCGTGTCAGTGCAGCATGGTAGGTCTTTAATTACACAATCAGATACAGTACTTTCTTTTCCACAGGATACCTACTTTGTGCAGTGCACAAGATGGACAATGATCAATTAATGACGAGCTATTCAATCCTTTGTTTTGCTCTCAGTGTTCAGTGCATGGCCTTGGTCTTGCTTACCGTACGCTATCCACACCCTGCTCTGAAACCAGACTGATAAATTTCCTTGTGGACTTTTACATGCCACATGTCAGTGTGCTGAGTGCTTCAAAACAGTAATTAGTTTCCACAAAACCCCTGTGAGGCATAGAGGTGGTATTATCCCCATTTTAGAAATGAATAAGGTACAGGAAAATTAAGATCAAAAGTAGTTACTGATGCTGGGTGTCTAATTTCAGAAGCCTAGGACCTGATCTTAGACAACTTCAGATATGCAACCTCAGCCCTCATTGATTTCAGCTGCAGTTGTGAATGACACATCTACAAATCTCAGGCCCTAGGGCCTCAAGCTGGAGACCCAGGAAAAGAACACAGCATTACTGGCCATCTCTGATAAGTGTGTTTTAAGAGACTTCTTTAGCATCACACAAGAAGTCCATGACAGAGGCTAGGACAGGATCCAGGGCAGCATTCAGCTGCCTTGACCATGAGGGCCTCCTTTGTCTTCCTGCTGTCAGCTTGGCTTATTACAGCTTCTGCAAGAAGTGACGTGGGGTCCTGTAAGCAGTAGCTTCCTTTTGATTCCTCCTCAGGGCAATTCCATCCTGTACACTGAATGAGGCAGGGCTTGTGCAGAAAAAAATAGAAGGTGGTAAAGATTATCCCTATGCTGCATTTCCCTAGTCAACACAGAGGACACACTCTTCTGCCATGGTCAGGTGGGTGGCCAACTGGCTTAGGGACCGCACCCAGAGAGTGGTGGTGGATGGTTCCTTCTCGGCCTGGAGGGAGGTGGGCAGTGGGGTCCCGCAGGGTTCGTTCCTGGGTCCGATATTATTCAATACCTTCATCAGGGATTTGGATGATGGCGTGGAGAGAGAGCACCCTCTCCAAGTTCGCCGATGATACCAAGTTATGGGGCAAAGTTAGTACACCGGAGGGCAGGGAGCAGATTCAGGCTGACCTGGACAGGTTGGATCAATGGGCAGAGACAAATAGGATGCAATTTAATAAAGATAAATGTAAGGTACTCCACCTGGGAAGGAGGAACCCCCAGCACACCTATAGGTTAGGGAGTGTCCTTCTCAGCAGCTCGGAGGCAGAGAGGGATCTCGGAGTCATAACTGAATCCAAGATGAACATGAGCCGGCAGTGTAACGAGGCCATCAACAAGGCCAGTCGCACCTTGTCGTGCATTAGCAGGTGCATGACCAATAGAACAAAGGAGGTGATGCTCCCCCTCTATGCGGCACTGGTCAGGTCGCAGTTGGAGTACTGTGTCCAGTTTTGGGCGCCGCACTTCAAGAGGGACGC